CAGGGAATGTGTTTCCTTTTTTAGTTTTGATTTTGAGCAGCAAATTTGGAGTTACATATTGGTGCTCACCAGGAATGCATAAGCAAAATTGCACAAATTTTCACTTGAAAGAATAGTGAATAATCTTGGGATTTTTTTCTGTTCAAGTTTCAAATAGTGTGTAAATTCAATACACTTCATCTTCAGCATGTTTAGTGCCACTTTTGTAAGTAACCACGCCCCGCACAGGCCACGCCCCCATTCCGGCCACGCCCCGTCCTGGCCACGCCCCTTTCCGCTTTTTTTCATCACTCGCCATTGCCATCACTGATAGTTTCATTGAAATAATCGTTAACCCCTTAACATTAGGATGCACAGTTTTAATCCCGCTATTGCCATCACTGATAGTTTCATTGAAATAATCATTAACCCCTTAACATTAGGATGCACAGTTTTAATCCTGTATTAGGGTCATGAACGCCTCTTGAGTGGAACGGAAGGAGCGTAGCTCCATCTAGTGGATGCATTGTAGAGTGCGTTTTATAATCCAATGCGTCCAATATATGAAAAAAAATTACAAAATAGTCCATTCATTGAAGGTGCCCCTCATAATCCAGTGCACCTTTTAGTGCGGAAAATACAGTACATAAAAGCACACTCAACTAACCTACCTTGATGTATGCTCATTCAATGATCTTGAAATGGCTCCCTGGGTTCCTGACATCAATTTTCCTTCTTATTTGTTTGCTGCTGCTCTTATGTGTACCTCGTTCTGTGTTTTCGCTCTGACGTGTTTTAAATGAAGGAATAGATGCTAAGCTAAAGGCTACAGCTAGAGATCACTAACACGCAAGCTTCAGCCAGGGAGTACAGAGTGTGTGCACACATTGTTCTATTTGCTGCTTGTTGAGTTGTGTGTCAAAATGAGATTGGCTAATTTTGTTTCGATGGATGTCTGTGATTTTATCTCCACAGGTTGGAAGGATGCCAGAGGATGTTTGAAGGCTGACATGAAGTTTCTCTCCTCATGCGATGTGATCAGAGCCACCGACAGCATCCACGCGTAGTTTTAATCCTGTATTACGGTCAGATAAATATTTTGAAAGCATTTTTATTGAAGTAACAAATACTCTGAATGTAACAGATAAAATGACTCTAGTTTTTTTTCTGTTTGTGTAATATTTTGTTGTTATGATTGTGGAACTCGATTGGATGTTCTGGTAGCTGGCGATGAACGTGTCGATAATTATTCAAGACTTATTTTTTTTCTGTGGAAAATTTTGCTCCAACATACTTTGGATTACTGGACTTAAGATAGCAGTGTCAATACAACACACTTTATCCACTCATGTTCCCTATTTTCCCCTTTCTTGTGCACTACCGAAAGACAACATCCTGGTTCCCGATGTAAATTCCAAAATGTGAATTTATAAACAACAAAAAGCAGTACAGTATCTTACAATATAAGAACTAAAAAGTAAATAAAAATGTACAATACGGAGGTTTGTGTTGTGTGGCATTTATTTATTTTTATTTTTTTGACAGAGTAAGCATGACATTTCATTAACCCTTTCAGGGCCAGCGGTTACTCCAGTGGACAGTTTATCACAGGGGTCGGGAACAGTGGCGGATGCTGGTCTGTCAAGGAGGGGAAGCTCAATTTCGGCCTACATCATAAAATGTGTCCGTTTATTTGTACGTGAATTCTACTCTCCGTTCCTTTTCAAGAAAATGATCTGTGACCCTGTCATACCAACAAGGCGTCTTTTCCAGGGACTTAACTAGTCTCCCGCTGCTCGGTTAGGACGGAAACTGTGGTGATATAAGTCAGTCTGCGAACACAAGCAACTACAATAAAACCCACCAGAAATAAAAGATTAATTTGTTGCTAGTCGCTTTCAACAAAGAGAGTGTCGCTAAGATGATTAGGAGAAGTCTCCAGTTCAACTCAGAACAGAATGAGAATTAAAAAATGCTCCGGATGCCTACACCAGAAGATGGGTGATTGGCTCATTTTGCTGTCAATCAAAAATAGATTCAGCCTCAGACAGATCATCCAATCATCATGCAGAAAAGCCGAGCGTCTGGGCCAGCCGATAAACGCCCACTGTCCATAGGGTCCCAGAGACGCTGAGCGTCCGGTGGGCCGGACAAAACCAGCATTTATCCAATGACTCGTCTCGTTTCAATGCATTGGTACAACAGGCTCTGAACTCTCTAGACGCCCAGCGTCCGCGCTGTAGATACTCAGCGTCTACACAGTTTTAAGCACAGTTGAGCTGTGCATGTGTTCTTTAAAATAATTTTGTGATAATAATATAAAAATAATAATATTATTATTATTATTATTGTTATTATTATTACCGGGTCCATACGCGAAGTTGCTGCTGGCTAGCCTGCACCCTGCTCAGTAGCTTACATGCTTCCTTTCTACTGTCTCTCACAGATTATTTTAATGCGAACGTAGCATGGGGTGTGTCAAAGTGCCGCTTTGCATTCTAACCGTTTCATCGATGGTATTTTGTCATTGCAAATTAGACACACCGCAGAACCTGTTCTCTACACAAAGGTGAATCCTTCGGTCCATTCGTCCTGAAGTGTACCATACTCGTCATCTTTTTTTCTTTTCGCCATCTTATTCGTCTAAGGATTAGCTTTGAGCTAGCTAATGACCGAGCGGGCTGATTCAAAAGGGGGCGTTTACCCGTTTCCAAAGCAATGGCAACATAGGCCAGTATCATCCAATCAAAATTGCTCCTGGAGCCAACTGCAGCCCGAACAGGAAATGAGCAGTGAAAAATCGATCGATGGATGCATTAAACAAGCGAAAATATTTTGTTTTATCTGCGAGCCAGATGCAATCATCAAAAGAGCCATATATGGCTCATGAGCCATGGGTTCCCGACCCCTGGTGTATCAGGTTACAGGGCCTTTTTTGCCTCTTTTATTCCAGCATTTCAAGAAATGAAATACGTGGACCAGACAGTCTAGTCTGTATATGTTTCGCAATGTGCAATGTGTGTACCTAATGTGGCTTACAAAAGTATTCAGCCTTCTGGAGTTTATTTATTTGTTTATTTATTTATTTTCAGCTTTTGCCACATTTGAGGCTTCAAACAAAGACTCAACATTGGAATTTTTTTGTGAAGAATTAACACCAGTTCTGACACACTCTTGAAGTGGAATGAAATGTATACAATATTTAAAAGTTTTTTTGTTTTTTTTTTTAGATTAAAAAAATAATAATGAAAAATGGGTGTGCAAAATTATCCCCCACCCCACTTTCCTCCCAAGTTAATATTTTGTAGAAGCACCTTTTGCTGCGATTACAGTTCCAAGTCTTTTGGCGTATCGATCAATTTTACACATCTAGGGACTGAGATTTCTCCCCACTCTTCCTTGCAAGACAGATCCAGCTCGGGTAGATTAGATGAACCGCAGTTTTTAGATCTTTCCACAGATTCTCAAATGGATTCAGGTCTGGACTTTGACTTGGCCATTCGAGCAGCTGGATACGTTTGGAACCATCCTCCTCTATATTTTGATTTATTTCGGATCATTGTCTTGTTGGAAGGTAAAACCTGCATCCCACTCTTGGGTCTTTTGAAGACTTCCACAGGTTTTCTTCCAAAATGGCCCTGGATTTGGCTCCATCCAACTTCCCATCAATTCTGTCTTCCTTGTCCAGGCTGAAAAAAAGCAGGCTCAAATCATGATGCTGCCACCACTGTGTTTGCCAGCGGGGACTGTGTTCACGGTGATGTACACTCCCGTGTTTCTTCTTCGCCAAACATGACTTTTTGCATCTTACCCAAAAAGTTCCATTTTGGTCTCATCTGACGAGAGCACCGTCTTCCACGTTTGTTGTGTCTCCCAGGTCTCTTTGCCAAGCGTCAAACGGGATTTTTTTATGGATTTCATTGAGAAATGGCTTTTCTTCTTGCCACTCTTCCGTAAAGGCCAAATTTGAGCAGTGTGTGACGAATAGTTGTCCTTTGGACAGATCCCCGCGCCTTAGCTGTGGAGCTCTGCAGTTCATCCAGAGTGATCATGGGCCTCTCGGCTGCATTTCTGATCAGTGCTCTCCTTGTTTGGGATGAAGGTGCAGAGGGATGGCCGGTCTTGGTTGGTTTGCAGTGGTCTCCTCCTCTTCCCATTTTAATATGATTGATATTGTGCGCCATGAGATGTTTAAAAGCTTGTGAAACCTTTTCGTATCCTAATCCTGTATTAACCCTTTCATGCTCCCTGTAACCTGATAACATGACAAGCTGTCCACTGGAGTAACCGCTGTCCCTGAAAGGGTTAAATTTCTCCACAACTTTATGCAGTACCTGTCTGGTCTGTTCCTTCATTTTTACGATGCTGTTTGCTCCCCCAAAAGTCTTTTAACAGACCTCTGAGACCATCACAGAGCCGCATTTATACTGAGGCTAGACTACACACAGGTGGACCCCATTTATCATAATCAGTCATTTTGGTCAACATTGGATCATTCCGAAACCATCAGGGAACTTCTGGAATGAGTTGGCTTCACTGACAATAAAGGGACGGAATAATATTGCACACCGCACTATTCTGTTTTTTAAAAAATATCTATTTAAATATCATATGAATTTTGTTCCGCATCACAAAGTGTATCCCACTTGGTGTTGATGCTTCACAAAAAAAAAAAAAATCCAATTTTTAATCTTCATATTTGAAGGCTGAAATTTGACAAAAGGTCAAATACTTTGCTAGCCACTGTATTTCACCCAATTATTACTGCACTCACGTATATGACGTCTTCTCTGTGCCACCTGTTAATAAAAAAAAAAAAAAAAAAAATATATATATATATTTTTTTTTTTTACTCAACACAACATGAAATCATCACAGTGCAAGATGGGGAAAAGTATGTAAACCTTTTGCTAAATAACTGCTTGATGTTGTAGTTGGAGATTCGAAGAAGTCGGCCAAGTCAAATTTGTCAAACACAAAAACAGATAGCCACAAACGTTTTGCAATGAGGCTTCGCCAGCACCATCTCTGCAATCCATACACACGTTACCGGTAGATATCAACCTCCCTTCTACGGTATCCAAACTACTCATAACCTTTTCGCAATCTATTAGCACCCTCTATTGATGGAAGTTCACATTGCAGTCGACGACGTCTCGTCAGGAGTCACCACAGCAATGATATATGTTTGGCACAATTCTTACACCGGGTGACCTTCCAAATGTAATCTGTGTTTAGCACAAAAGGGTCTTGCTGAAGGACCGTTTAGGATGTTACCGTTCGTGACTGGGATTTCAAACCTTGTCCCCTGTGTACAAAGTGGTATTACCCCTTCGGCAATTCCTCGGTCGCAAGGTAACGTGTGAGTATTAATAACTACTATGTAGGGTTGCCACCTTTCAAAAATGGAAAGATGGGACCACGACCATGGCCCCTTGTGGGTTGGAGCCAACTGATCAGTGTTACAGTTTTATATGTGTCACTATTTGTAGCATCATCACCAAACCTCCAAAACTATTTGCTTCTTGCAGGCCTTTTGTGGAAAAGAAGGCAAAGCCCTTCAGCACAATATTTTCCACATCTACAGTGGGATGGCCAAGAGCCTGCTTCACTGTGTTGTGCGCAATGTGCGATTTCCTTGGGAGATATCTTTCTGTTTCTTCTTCAAGTTGGTGAAGACAGAGTAGTAAATAATAATAATTCACATTTGTACTGTCTGCACTCAACACTGCGATTTGATCAAATGATGAACCAGATTTGTCCACAGACTGTTGTGAGCGAGCCACAATCTAAGCAGCGGACGATTTCGCCATCTCGGTGACATTGAGCATTTTGTTCGTGACCCCACATTTGGGACTTAAGTTGTCATGTTCTGTCTTGATTGTGTTTCAGCTCCAGCTGGAGTGAAGGGCGTTTCCCTCCAACAGGCGCACCTGTGCCGCATTTTTCCAATCAAGCCTTGCCACATAGGACTGTTAAGGACTGTTCTTCAACGATTGCTCTTGATCATTGTTTGCATGTTATTGGACTTTTTATATTTTGTTTGTGTATTTGCAGTGTTCTTGTGAACTTTGCCTTTGCAAGCGCTTTTGGTTTCACCCATTGTTTTTTTTTCCTGGCTCCTTGTGACAAGCAATTTCAGTTTATACTTTATTTTCTTTCACCCTTTCAGGCACAGGGGTTGCTACAGTGGACATGTTATCAGGTTCCAGGGTGCATGAAAGGGTAAATACAGATTTTTGTTAACGCACTTTGTCAGCGCCTGCATTTCTGGAATCCAAAAACATTATTCGGTTCGGTCTGAACCTGACAGGAGTATTGAAAGATGCTTTTGGAGCAAGGACATCTTCAAGCACTGTCTCTATTTTTTTTTTATTATTATTTTTTTTTTTATTAAAGAACTTTGTATCTGGTAAAATCTTTTGATTGTGTATCTGTACAGTCAGCGCTGTTGTACCTCAGATGGTGTTTTGACTGTGTGGTACACTTCAGCTGCAATAAACTACAGGGAAAAAGAGGATCCCACTCGCCACCTGGCATGAAAGTCAAGAATTTATGTCATGATCACAGACACTACTGCGTTCATCCTGAATATAAAGTTTTTTGGTGTGACACAATTGGATATTTCAAAATCTAGGGAATGTACAGTACATAGACTATATATTAAAAAAAAAAAAAGTTTCTCTTCATTTTATATATATATATATATATATATATATATATATATATATATATATATGTGTGTGTGTGTGTGTGTGTATACAGTACTTAGTAGCTTTTAATTCGTTGATATAATTTGTTCTTAGATGGTCACATAAATACCAAATGTATATTTGCTAATACGACTGTATATTAAATTTAATTTTAAACCCTCATCCCCAACACCCAAATGACAATAATCTGCTAAATTAAATAATCTGCATCCACACACTGACATCTCACGATGGTAAGAGGACAGCAAGATAGGAAACGGAATCAATGGCAACACATCAAACTCAAGAAGAGACACCGTGACACTGAGGCTTGGTTCGTCTGTGTTCTTCGGTGTCCGCAGTGTCGCTCTCTGGACGCGTGTTGTCTGATGTCAAACAGCCCACAATGAACGACTGAAAACACTGGCTGACACACTTTATGATTCGCTTTATATCCCAATCAGCGCCACTCACTCTAACCAAGAGCGAGCCTCTTTCCAGTCACAGCCGGCATGACAATTTTGCTGACCTGAGTATTTACCGCGTTGGATTTTGCTTTTCGTGGTCAGATTTAGGATAGGCCATTTCTCCTGGCCATTAATGAAAATAGGGAAACAATCTCATCCCATACAGTATTACTTCAATCGGGGACATGACATCTAGTTCCCAAATAAGGAACGATTCCGTATTTCACGGGTCGGTTGGCAAAGCTGCTACTATCGCTAGTTAAAACCTACTATTACTGTCACAATCCTGAGTTGGAATTTACCGTATCTTGGATGTAAGTAGATGATATGTTAATATGTGGAAAGTTGCAAATTATGACCTTCTTAACATGATTGTCCTAGTCCAGGGGTCGGCAACCCAAAATGTTGAAAGAGCCATATAGGACAAAAAAAAAAACAAATGTCTGGAGCCGCAAAAAAATAAAAGCCTTCTATAAAACTTAAGATGAAGGAAACACATGCTGTATGTACTGTATGTAGTAGACTGGACTGTCTCAGAATTGTTTATGTTATTCATTCTTTTGTTGTGTGTTCACAAACGCCTGCATAGAATTTATTTTGTAATTTCCTCGCTTGATTTTTTTTTTTGTTTTGGTGCATTATTTTCGCTTTTCTTAGTGTCAGGGAAGTGATCATTAATTTCCGTTTTTCTGAGGCTGTCTTTGAACGCCTCTTGAGTCTAAAGAGAAGAGAGAAGGCACGAAGTCTGACGCAGACTGTCTGTGTTTGTTGAGACTGTTAAAAGCATAAATAAAGTGTACGTTTTAAAAAACCAACATCACAGCTCTCCTTTTTCGGAGCTGCAACATGTATCTATCTATTTGAGCTATGTTAGCCTACTATCAAAATCTTTTTCCATTTTCAAACGTTTTTTATAAAGCTCCAGGGAGCCACTAGATGTCGCTCAAGAGCTGCATGCGGCTCTGGAGCCGCGTGTTGCTGACCCCCGCACTAGTCATTTTTTATTTATTTTCCAAAAAAACACATACGCACAAAACACGGAACCACATTCTGATAATCTTTTATGTATTAAAAAATTCAATTGAATGAGGGTTAACAAGCTTATTCCACCATATAACATAAATGTTTACACGGTATGTATCTCACAAAAAAAAAAAAACAAAATGAGAAAGAAAACACAATCGCTTGTGTGGCATTTTAGAAGACTCATTGCATTGTCACATTTCATTACCAATTCAAAATCCCGGTAATTCCCAACTGCTCATAATACTTCTCTTGCAAATGTGACTAGCAAACATCGTACCTCATTTTTGCTCTCAAAGAGATGATCAGGATGTATCAGATGTTGGTTGTAACCAAACTACAGATTTGTCTTTGTCTCAGATCCAAGCGTTCATTGGGGAAAAAAACTGCAGGCTTTGGTAAAAGAATAAAATGCATGGGTAGAGTTCAACTACAAAGGCACTGAGGTTTGCATGTTGAGATGATTGATGTTTGAGGAGACAGAAGCAGCAGTTTTAGTGGTATGAAAGCATTAAAAGAGATGACGATGCAAAATTGTGAACTATGGCGGCTGGCAAATAATTAGTGTGGATGCTGTCACTGCTGTACTAAAGTGCACAAAATGTATTCGGTCAATACATACTATACTGTAGAGCAGTGTTTTTCAACCAGTGTGCCGCAGCACACTGGTGTGCCGCGAGACATTGTCGGGTGTGCCGGGGGAAAATATCCAATTTTTATGCCTGTGCGGTCTTTCGCCCAGAAAGTAATCATGTAGTACCCTCCCGTACCGCTAGGAAGCAGCAACAGCTAGCCAATTGCCTTGTGTTACGACGAGAGACACGCGAATTTGTGACGCATGAATGCAGGACGACGGTGAAACAATAAATATAAAAGATGATAAAATATTGTTTTCTTTGTGTTCATTAGATTCCAACTGAAGCTGTTATAACGTCATTCTTCAATGTTAAAAACGGTTATAGTAACAATATAACACGTTAGTTGGTAAAATAAGCGGGGGGTTCACATTTTCAGCTAGTGGTGTGCCGCGAGATTTTTTTCAATGAAAAAAAGTTCAAAAAAGTTCGAAAAACCCTGATCTAAACAGCCCCAGGTTTCACACTGATTGAGTATAAATAAACTGAGAAATTATATTTTAATTAAATACACTGTTCAGAGTGTCATTTTATCACATTTTTGGTTAGTGGTGTGCCGCAAAATTTTTCCAATGTAAAAAACGTGCCCTGGCTCAAAAAAGGTTGAAAAACACTGCCGTAGAGAACCTCTATGGTCAAACACAATGCTTGCTTTCTGAAAGTAACGTGTTCTCTTAAGAAAAAAAAAAAGTCATGATAGTTAAAGCAAACGCATGAAGAATTTGAGAATTTGGGCACTCATGGGTTTCTGAACTCTCACAGAAGGTTTGACTTCAAAGGCATCCAGTATGTCCGTGTAAACGCTCGGTTGGACCATACAACCTGAGCAGTGGTTGACTTTTGAGGCTCCACAGTACAAGGATGACCGTATTTTCCGCACTATAAGGCACACCTAGAAGCATTTCATTTTCTCAAAAGCCGAGAGTGCACTTTATAATCCGATGTGCCTTATATATGGATCAAGATTTGGATTTCTTGGAAGTAGTATTTTAAATGTTCTGTCAAGTGCTTTGTTGTAGCTGCAGCGGTTGTGAAAGCTCTTTAAAGTAGCTCCATCTAGTGCAGGGGTGTCAAACTCATTTCACATTGTGGGCCACATATAGCCTCGGTAGATGTAAAGTGGGCCGGACCATTAAAATTATACCATACTCTGCTATAAATAACCAAAATCATTTCTTTCCTTGCTATCTAGTGGATGCATAATACAACCGCAGTCACTGTTGTAGCTTCCATTCTATGTGCCTCATAATGAGGTGCACCCTCAATATGAAAGCAGTTTTAAAATACGCCAGTCAGTGAAGGTGCACCTTATACTTGCGGACAATACTCTTTTTTTTTTTGGAAGGCTACCACTTTTACTTTCTGTCTGCTTTCAAGCCAGTTGGGCAAGTACGCACTGAATATAAAACATTCCTGACATCGACTGTATTGCCATCTCTCTTCAACATTTGTCTGCATGACATTTCCCAACCACGTCTTTAATGAAAATGTCAGACTCTGTCATTATCACATCGCTCCAATTATCACCTAACAGGCGTTCAGTGAAAAAGTTAGGAATCGCTGTTCTCTTTACTGAGCGAACAGAATAAGGAAGCATACAGCATGTTCAGGCTAGCATCAATTCATCTTCTCGAGAAGATGCCATAAGTGGGACTTGGGTGTGCGTGTGCGTCAGTGTACCAAACAAACATCCAGTATACAAAATTTGGCTCGACAGGTGGGGCAGGGGACTCGACTGGACAACCAGGTCTCGGGTCTTTGCTGGTCTTGTCGGCTGGCGAACCATCGGCCCAGACAGGACAAACACCACATGGGTCTGCAGAAACACTGCTCACACTCGGGCTCACCGTCAGCTCCTACAAAACAAAGCAGTTCCAGACGTAAACACAACTACAATGCAGATAATATTTCCATGAATCTGAGACAATTGAACAAATTTCAAATATCGACATGGGAAGAGAAAAACACAGAGAGCACAAACAACAACTCATGATCCAAACAAGAGTCCTTATGTGTCAAACATACATTTTAGCGATCCCCTATGATGCTATTTGCTTATATTGCTGCTCGTGCAACGACTTCATGGGTATTTATTTATGATGTGATAAATTGTTTGTGTGCCTGCGATTGGCTGGCAACTGGTTCAGGGTGTCCCCCGCCTACTGCCCGAAGACGGCTGGGATAGGCTCCAGCACCCCGCGCGAGCGACCCTAGTGAGGATAAAGCGGATTGGAAAATGAATGAATGATTGAATGAAATGTTTGTTTGTTTATTGAACAAATAAACAGAAAACAGAAACTTGGTCGAAAGTAGAAGGTTAGTACAAAAAACAGAAATAGTCATTGAGCACAGTTGACAAAACTTGTAAGGTGGTTAAGGTTACATTCGTAGCCATTGATGGTACTGAGGACGTGGGGAACGTGTCCCCCAGCCAATTTGGAATGATTCTGATGCACCAGATAATTTATCGTTTAAAACCCCTTAAAGTTAGGAGGGCCCCGTTAAGGGCCCTCCGTCATCTGTCAAAACAAATCGCTGATGCACGTCGTCATGTGTGAACATGTTATACATCTTTTAAAAGCTGAGTTTCTGGAGATTTGAATGGTACCCTACATGTTACAATTGTCAAATTTGAACCGAAGCTTGGGGAGACTTAAGCTTTGATCCTGGAGTGTTTTCAAGTCCTAATCAGCATTCTAAATACATTTTCAAGGCAGATATTGTGAAAAGAAATTAGACGAACATAAGATTCGCGTTTTTCTTCTGTTTTCAAACATCCATAGTTCAGTGACAGGAGCACTTACACAAATTCTTACTGTATGGGAGAAATATTCATAATGTGACATTTTGAGTATTTCAAAAAGTGACCAAAACTATGCTGATACTCCAAATGGTTCAAGAATAGCTAAAAATTGACTTTGGGTGCACCTTTCGACAGGCGTTTTCGGCAAAGTTGCCCGCGGTTTAAGGGGTTAAAAAAATGACATCGTTCCACATCAGCAGTGGCATGAGGCCACTACGTGTCGGGCCACCTGAAGTGTGTTGACGCTGGTCCAATCGGGCCAGTACAAATTTAATAAATAAATATGATTAAATCAACACAATCCTGATTTTTCATATTAAATAACACTGAAGGAAATAAATACAATTTTTGTTGGGTTAGGTCTGGCAGTTTTTTAAACACATTTTTGGGTGCGAAACCTGTGCATCAACCTGTATGGACTAATGCTTACTCACACACTTACCATCTACATGACAGAGTCTGACCAGCTTGGTGCTTGCTGGCGCTTGCATACAGCCAATACACGGCTCCACCTCCTGAGTATGCAGAGCAAATGATGGACAGTACATGCCTTGTTTATGCTTTGAGTTGAGCAAAACGTCCACGAGCAGTTGTGACACACACTACCTGTCCAGTGGGGAGCGAGTAAGGCTGGTTGAGGTCCACATGAGCTTGGAATGTTTCCAGAAAAAGTTCACTAATTGTTTGGTGTATCACAACATTAGCGGAGTTCCTGATGGGCGCATGGAGCTTCTCCCTGAGCTCGCCATACTCTGTCGAGTTCAACCTGGGGAGAACCCCCCCCCGACAAAATTACAAATGCAGAGTGGTACTTTTTCAGCAGCATACACGCAGTCGTCGTATTTGCAGTACAGTATTTTCTGCACTATAAGGCACACCTCAAAGCATTGAATTTTCTCAAAAGCCGACAACGTGCCCTATAATCCGATTCACCTAATATGATATAAAGAGACTGTAACTCCCTTTATATCATCATTAAGTTGTTTTCCTGTTCGTGTTCCTCTGCCATCTAGTGGTGATTATTAGCAAGAACCAATTGTAACCTAAAAGGGTTCTGCTCGGAACTAATTGACATGTGCATTCGCCAACACATACTCAAACAGACGACTACTTTGTGAGCTCCGCTCAGCCATTATGAAACAATAATACCACAAGCATACTTAACGACTGACTAAACGAAGGAGACAAGCATCATTTCTAAGGATATTTAGCCCCTTGTGGATGTGAGCCCACGAGGGTTGTGTGCCTTTTTGTTGAATCAATTGTCTTCATAACTTTTGTCTGTCATTTGTTGTTTTGTAATGCTATTTGTATTTATATGTTTCATGTCTGTGTTTGTGACCAGTTATTGGTACAGCTGCAGTGGTTGTGAAGGCTCTACACAAATACAGCTGTATTGTATTGTATTCCCTTTAGCGTAGCACCATCTAGTGGATGCATAGCGCAACCGCAGCCACTATTGTAGCTTCTATTCTATGCACCTTATAATGCAGTGCGCCCTAGATATAAAAAAAAGTTTTAAAAAAGGCCATTCATTGAAGGTGCGCCTTGTAATCCGAAGCGCCTTATGGTGCGGAAAATACGCTTAACTGTTTTGGACTAGTTGTACCGAATATCAAATGGTCTAACAGCAGGGTTGATGCTGTGCACTCTCAGGGTGAGCAGCTGGATGGGAGAGGTTGAGTCAGGACTCAGCTGGTGCTGCCGAGACTCCGTCACAGTCACATGACAGTCATTCTGCGCAGCCATGTAGATGTTGTAGGTGGTCACCTGCTCATAAGAAAAGTACGATCAATACCATGAAAACATGTGGATCTTTGGGGAAATCACTTTATCCATTCCAAACACATATGGGTCAAAGACGGTGCAGTACTCTGGGCTTTTCTTCTTCAAATGTTGCAAGTCTGTTTGTCTCTGAAATGGCTTTCCGTTAGATAATGAAACACTTCTCCCAGAAAATTGTGCCATTTACTAGTTCTGTGGCATTTGCAAAATCTGACCATTCCAACCAGAACTCCAAAAATGTACTGAACAAAATGTTGGGCACCTCAACTCAACTCAACTGTATTTATAGAGCACTTTCAAACAGCCATCACTGCATACAAAGTGCTGTACATGGAGCAATTCAACATATACAACAAACAGTAAAGCAAATCAGTAATAAAGACGGTAGAAAGCACCGAACAGCAAAACCAAGAAGAAATCTAAGTCATGCTGAGTCAAATGCCAAAGAATACAAGTGAGTTTTGAGGCGGGTTTTGAAGATCGGCAGCGAGGAGG